AAATACAAAGTATTATTGATTACTAGGGATGCACGGGTAGTAAAATTTGGCCAAATACCAGGTCCGGGTACCTGGTCACTAAGCTTTGGTTGAGGCCAGGTGTCAAGTGGGATCGAGTTCCCCCCAAAAAAATATACACAAAAATTAGAAATAAAAACACAATTAATGTTTATTACATTTGTCCAAATAATCACCAACAGAACATTCAAGTTTTACTTTCAACTTTCAATGCCTAGTCCCAACTTCTCAAACCCTAATCATATTGTTTGCAAAACCCCCACCTTCCCCACAAATCCACTTCTCAAGCTATGCCTGTTATTAACCCCTATTGTTCTCTGAATCCCTGCCTTTCAGCAGACGGTCAGTCTTTGTTGCTTGGAACAAATTTTTTTTTAACTAAACCAATTACTGACTGTAACTTTCAGTACCGCATTAGTCGCCACAAAGATTAGGTCTTAGATGCCTAATTTCAACACTCGGCTGGAGCCCAGTATTACCGGGTAGCCCAATACCCAGCCAGAGCCGAATATTTGGCTGGGTACCTATGCATCCCTATTTATTACAAGTAGTTTCATGTATTTTATAAAATTTGTGCTATTACTTTGTCTTTAAAAATTCTTCCAAGAACACCTGAATAAAACTGTTTTCATTTTGTTTGTAATATAGATAACATATTCTAATTTATCTTAAATTAAAGTTTATATTTTACTAACTATATTCTAGCAAAGCTTTTTGTTTGGGAGCAAAACACCTTTAAAATTTTGAAATGGTTATCTCATAATAAGGACAAAAAACTGAAATGCTGCTTATTTTTAAATAATTGTAGCTATTATGTAAACATAGATGTGTAGATATTTTTATCAAATCTGAGACTAAAAAATGGAATTCTAATTTTTGTTAAATATTTTGGTACAAAATTAGCTGTAATTTTTCTGAATGATATTTTAATTTAGTGGTTACAGCAGTGTTGCTGGCATTAAGCATAGCCTACTACGAAAGTCATATTCAGGAAACACCCATCACAAAAAGGAGAAGATTTGTTGCTTTCACACCAGATCAGTTTGAAAAAATAGCAGATTTTGAATTTGAAATGGTAGGTAGTTAGTAATTTTCTTAATTAAAAAACACTATATATTTAGGCAAATTTTAAACACCTGCATATACAAGATTTTTTATTGTAGGTCAGTTAGTTCTGTTGATTTTCTCATGAATCTTGCTCTTTCTAACACGTCACTTTACCAGAGAAAACTTATTATGCTTTCCCAGCTAGTTAATAAACAAAAATTTATTTGAAAGCTGCTGACAAAACTAACAGAGGACAGAAAAGTATTCCAAGTGGTATTAATATGCAGCATAAGAAATAACAATGAAATTTTGCAAAGCAGTCATTGGGAGAAAGGATGAGAGCCATATGAAGATAATAGAATAGGGGTAAATAACAAATTCAGATGAGACTGGTTGGAAATGGTTGGCATCATTGACATGACAACAACTCTTGGAGAAGTCAGTTGGAAAGCTGACATACCAGGGGAAAGCACCGTGTTCATGGTATAAAGATATAATTAATTATGATAAGTGCAGCTGTAAGGCCTTAATGTGGGCAAAACATGCTAAATAAATAGAAATTAAAGTTTACGTTTCTATGTTTGAGCAGAACGGTAGGTGTATTAGTATTCAACTTAAGACAACTAAAGCAGTTGCATCATTACATGACAGTATTTTGAATGTATAGGTTCAAAACACTATTCTTTAAATGTTTTGTATAAAATCAGCAACAGGTTAAACTACTGTGCCAGGCCATGATCTCACATCTTCAAAATGTTTTTGTTTAAGTTACTCAAGTAAATCGCATCCCATGTATTTACTGTATTATCCACTGTAAGATTTTATGGTATATCTTATAAAAAGAACAAGGTCAGTGTAGGAGATATAATTCATAATTTAAAATTACTTGTGCTTTAGTAGTCTGAAAGGGTTTGTAAGTTTTCAAGATGTCATGCTCGGGAAATAATGGAAAACTATTAATGAGCATTAAATGTATTGGTGAATTAACAAGTATCTAGATAGATGGGAGGATATTTTAGATACTGTAAGAGAAGAATATAATATAAAAATATATAAATCATCCCTATCATTGGTATTGAAAGTGTCTACATTTTTTATCCATTAGTCACTTGCATTCCTGGTTGTGTTTTGTTGGTGCATGCTTTAACATGACATTGTAGTAATATTGCATGTACAAAACTGTATGTACATTGTTTAGATACGATATATGGGCTGCTTTTTCTTTCTTACTAGGATGGTCAACTTATATTACAAATACATATGTGGTTAATTGTTTGACTTCCTGCTAGAACATAAAAGTAGATTGAGAAAACACTTTTGTTTTTATTTGCAGCAACTGGAAGCTTTTCAGTCTCAGGTTTTACCACAAACCCATGTAGCCTGTCAACGAGTTGCAGGTGTTGCTAATCGTCTTCTTCATTCAAACATGGACTTGGAACAAATCTATGATAAGAAGTGGTCAGTCACTGTTGTAAATAACCCCACAGAAAATGCTTTTGTTTTACCTGTAAGTGCATTTACTTCTATCTATCTCCTGAAATTAGATTACTAAAGAATATTTAGTTATTACTATTAGTGGTAACATTAATGTGGCTGTAATTCTTTTCATGCCAAGATATATCATTTATTATAACAGTAAAACTATATATCTACTAAGTTAATTGAAGAAAGAAAAACTGGCTAATTTCACTTCAGTTTATTTTGAAGATTTGTCTTTTTGTTTGTAGTGCTGTAATAAGGGGTAGAACTACTGGCTTATATTTGTTGAAAGAACTTATTTTACAGGTAATACAATAAATGAAATAAAATGTTAAAATGTAGTTTAATAATACATTATACAGAATGTTAAGCAGAAACCGTAAAAAGAACAATGTTAGATAATGTTCTACCTTCTTATTTCTTTTAGTATTAAATCCCTAATGACCACATTAAATGCTAATTGCATACCCAGTTTTGTGGAAGGTAATAATTGACTCATTTAACTGATGTCTTTAAATTCAAAGCCAGAAGTCTATAAAATAGGGGAAAACGTGCCCTATTTGAAGGACCTTTTTATCCTCTTTTTCTAGGCAAAAATCATAAAACAAAATAGCCATGTATATTTATGGACAGTTTTGAGTTATCATATGAAAAATTACAGTAATCAGGCTTGAGAACTCTAGGTGATAGATGTACAAAATCAATTTTGTTTACAATAAAATGTCTTGGGGGGGGGGGTTTACACTGCTGCTGCTTTTTCAACATAACATTATTTAAGTTAGCATACATGTTATTTTTTATACTTATTGTACCATAACACTTCTTTTGTGTCTAATACACGAGCCACATTTGGTACATTTTATTGAAGCAATGCAGGTGCTACATGCATGTCCTTTTTTTATTCCTGTAAACTCCCAGTGTAGCATAGGGCCATAACAACACCTCGCCAACAGAAGGTGTTGTTGCAGTTACTTGTTGCAGGTTGGTTTTTTACGGGGTGAAGTTGCTAGCCCCGTGCTCAACCCTCCCCTTTCTCATCCTGGACTTGGGACCAGGCAAAGGCGTAGGTTGGCATGTTTGGTGTGACAGGGATTCGAACCCGCGACCCTCAGATTATGAGTCGAGCGGCCTAACCACCTGGCCATGCCGGGCATGTATGTCCTTTACTCCATCACAATTGTCCGCTGGAATACATGAAAGAAGCTAATAAGTTTAATGTTTTGATGGTGTTTTTTTTTTTAATACAACAACTTTTGTAAATTAATCGGCATTATATAAATCAGAAAATTGAATTTTTCATGTGAGTGACATTTAATGTGTGATCACTATTCAAACATTGTCAAATGGTTCTGATAATGAAAAAAAATAAAAACTCTGACATTGCTTGAATGCCTGATGAACTTTTAGGTATTTAGAATTATCTCCAAGTTCCTGGCTAGTGAATGAACCTTTGAATACAGTCCTACTTGTTTATGCACTACATGTGTAATAGAGCTTGAACATTAAAGAAACTGAACTGTGAGTGCTTTAAATTTATATTCATGCAAAAGTGAACTTTTATCTTGTGTAAAATTCCCTAAACCTCTATTTTATTTTACTTAATGAATTCAAACTTCTCTCTCTAAGAAGTATGTTTTTAATGTTCTTTCAAAGGTAACTTTAAGATTTTCTAACATCAGAATGACATAAGTAAGAATTAAGCTAAATACTTGTAAAGATTTTGTTTTGACTAAAAATTGATTTATTTTCTCATTAAGGAAAGCTTTGTGTTTTTCTTATGTTACAACTGTTTCTGCAGAGTGGCCAGATTTTTGTCTTCACCGGCATGCTTCGTCTCTGTATTAATGATGATGAGCTTGGAGTGGTTCTGGCCCATGAGATGGCTCATTGTGTTCTTGGCCATGGGGTGAGTTTATTATTCTTAATGTGGAATTTTGATTGAAAATTTTCTTACATTGAAAACCATGCCTTTCACACGTGCTTGTGTATTAATTATATCTTTAACGTTTTAATCACACAAATTAGAACATATCAAGAATGATCCATAGATCAACATTAATAAACTTTTATTTTAACAATTCCAAAGTTGGGCATTAAGAAACAAACAACACTATATAACCTCTTTATAAAGTAGCTACTACTAGTACTAGAGAAACAACAACATTAATCTGGTAAAGATATCATAAAACAAGCTTTTTGTGTTGTTATTGTACTGTGTTTTTGTGAAGGGTAGTGTATTATCACAGAAGGCAGGAGCATACCATTTGAAACCGTTAACCCTATTACGACTGATGAGCACCTATCAGGTGTTGAGTGCATGCCTGCATATCAAATTTGGAAATATAAGTAGGAATTATAGTTCTAACTCTATTTCAACAAAATTGACTCAAAAAATAATAGATTTGTTACCACTTTGTATCATTTACTCATTGTAAGTCACTAAGAAAAATTTTTTTTCAAACTTACATTTCTGCACAGCTCACCTGTAAATGTACACATTGATTTATTTGAGAATTTTTCTGTTCATCCCAAAGCATAGGTTTTTATTTTCTGGTAAATTATCACCCCATGAGAATACAAATAATCAAGTGTTGTTTCTCTCCTAATTTTCCTTTTCTGGCTGAAGATTTATTATTGCAGGCCTCTGTTCTCATCACATTCTGTGAAATCATAAAAAGGTGGGAAGAACTACTTGGAAACAGCTAAAGGCAGCCTTTAAGTACCATTTGATAGAGATAATTATATAATATACACATTAATATAAAGTGAGTAAAGTGGTAGGAGAAACAATTATTGTTTTGTGAGAAAGTGATTAAATGTAGCTCCTGCAGAGGAGAACATTGGAATTTAGTGTGATGTTTAGAAGACTTGGGAGTTTTTGTATACTTTTACCAGATGTTGTTTTCATTCCTGAAAATATTTTTTTTGTTTCATTTGTTTGACAGAGCATCAGGTAAGCCTTATTAGGCTTAGAGAGCATGATAGCAATGGCAAAATATTGCAGTGACTCAAATCTTTATGCACTGAAAGTTATTATGTCTATTGTGCTCAAACAATTCACATAAATAAAATAACTGAAAAATGAAAAAAAAGTGTATTTATTAGATATAAGTTGATTTTGATCAAGAATATTATGTAGCCTGACCTGACATCATTTTCAAAGGTCAGGTTTTAAGTCACTAATAAATCTTTGTCCGTTTATGTGTTTTTTATGATTTTAGCTAAAAGTGGTGACTTCTGCAGTTGGAAAAATAAAGTTTTGAAAGAAATGTATTCATGAAAATTAATCAAATCAAAATTGTCTTCATATATAAAATGGAATTTTTGATCACCAATAAAAGTTCCAGTTCTCTTGACAAAAGGAACCATTTTTAGTGTTTTACCCAAAAGTGTTTCCCAACAAAATTTCATGACATAGAAAACTTTAAAAAAACTAAGTCAAATGATATGATTTTTTAAAAGCTGAAACTAGATACTATTTAGTAAGTTTTTGTTAAGTTTCATGTAATTTGGTTGAGTATTTCCACTATGAGGAAAAAAATTGAGGATATCAGTGACACCCCTCAGTTTGAATAGGGTTAAGCATATATCACCACACTATTTAAACTATCTAAAAAAGAAACAGTTGCCTTTTTTTTGCTATCATATTTATCTATTGTGAAAAATTTCTCAACAAGAAAAGTAAAAAAGCAGAATATTATATTTTCTATACTTGTTAACATGCCCTCCCCAAAGTGGATCAGCTGTAAGTCAGTAATCTTACAACAATTAAAATTGGGTTTTAATACTCTTGGTGGGCAGAGCAGAGATAGCTCATTGTGTAGCTTTGAACTTAACAAAAACAATTTTTGTTAACATAATATATAAAAGATACTATTGAATATTTTTTTTATTGATGAATTCAGTACACAAACTAAATGCCTTCGTTTTTTATGTCTATGTACATTAACCCACATTTTTTACATGAAATGCCCCCAGCGGCTCAGTGTTAAGTCCGAAGACTTCTGATGCTAAAAAGTGGATTTCGATGCTTGTGGTGGGCACAGCACAAATAGTCCATTGTGTGACTGTGCTTAACAACATACAATGTTTAAGGAAAAACATTATTACCATATACATTTACAGTTAATCTTGCATATGGTTACGTATCTGCTTGTTTGTTAATTTTCAGTAGAAATTCTTTCTGAGATACTTTAGCGATACAAGTCCTTTCTTAATTAAAACTAGTTTATTCTTTCTCATTACAAACTTTGTAATACACTTAATTTCCACAGTCACTTTAAACTTAATTACTTTTATAAACACACGCTATAATTCACAGCAATTCACACACTTAACTTACGGTGCCTACTGCTCGCTTGACTCAATTCTCTATATCTATCTCCGGCTTACATACTAAAAAAGAGGGCATCTAGCAAACGCTGGGACATTTGTGAGGTTGCCCGCTAAGTCAAGATCTTTCTAGAAACTCCAGCGTGCATGCTCCCAGCATCTCGTGACTTCCGCTGTCGTAACACTGCCCCTTCCTTAGTATTGTTCATCCCGAACAATAGCACTTACATTAAACCAATAGATAATTAAC